GATGAGAATGGAGACAAGGTAGTGGCAGGAGACGAGTGGCTATTTGAAGGACCTGGTGAGTTCTTCCCTTTGGGCCAGAGTGAGGTCCGAGGCTTCCTGCCTCCATCACAGCCCTGATACCTTCTGACCTCCACCTCTGCCTCCTCTCCCCTTCAAGGCACATACATCCCCCAGAAGGAGGTGGAGGTCGTAGAGATCATTCAGGCCACGATCATCAGGCAGAACCAGGCTCTGCGGCTGAGGGCCCGCAAAGAGTGCCGGGACCGGGACGGCAAGGAGAGGGTGACCGGTGAGGCTGTGAAGGAGCACTGAGGGGGTGGGCAGGCCACGGCTCGGACTCTCTCAACTGCAGGGGAAGAGGGGGGAGGTGGGGAAAGCCACTCACAAGTGGCTGCAGCCGTCGAGGGCTGCCCACAGCTGCTTCCCCACCCGCCTTCATGCAGGCGACGTCCAGCCCTGACCCTGTGATCACCATCATGCTGACAGGCCTTTCCCTCCCCTCACCCTTTGTCATGAGCTGGGGGCAGTTTCTAGGTCAGCAAAGCGGGTGATCACATGTAATTGGCACTTGTATTTGACAGATGTGATGGATGTACAATGTCTTAAATGCAGTGCTAACTCTGCCAGGTGTGACTCAAAATGCTTTGCAAATAGTAACTTATTTGGTCTCCAAACATCCTTGAGTCACTACTATTCCCATTTTCCATATAACAAAACCAAGACACAAAAATTAGGTTACTTGCCTGGGTTTATGGCCAGGGGCAGCTGGGAGCCAACTTGGGTGACCTTTGACCCTTACTGCTCCACCAGGAGAGGAATGGCTGGTCCGCTCGGTGGGTGCGTACCTCCCCGCAGTGTTCGAGGAGGTTCTGGACTTGGTGGACGCCGTGATCCTCACAGAAAAGGTCTGTGCTCTGGTGGATGCGGGTTAGGGGACCTCCGGGCAGGGAACGCTCAGGGTGGCAGAGATGGTGTCAGGTAACATGAGCGCAGAAGAGAAGCAATATTGCTAGGGCCACTGGAAGAAAAACTTCAGAGGCCAGGTAACCTGAGGAGTATCCTGGGTCATCTGAAAGGGCTGAGAAGTCCTCCCGGGGGGTAGGAACTGGCACTGAGACCCGGGAGCGTTTGGTGGCCAACGGGGCTCCCAGGCCCCCTGAGGAAGTTGGAGGGGGGTTCACTCAAACACCCAACGTCTTGCTCTGCAGACGGCGCTGCACCTCCGGGCTCTGCAGAACTTCCGCGACTCAAGGGGAGTGGCCCGCCGCACGGGGGAGGAGTGGCTGGTGACGGTGCAGGACACGGAGGCCCATGTGCCCGATGTCTACGAGGAGGTGCTGGGGGTTGTGCCTATCACCACCTTGGGCCCCCGCAACTACTGTGTGATTCTCGACCCCGTTGGACAGGATGGCAAGAACCAGCTGGGGCAAAAGCTTGTGGTCAAGGTAGGTGCCTCCACGTCCCCTGGAGAGTGAATGTCCTTCAATGGCAGGAGGGGCTCGGACCTCTCTCCCTTCTCTCCCGCACCAGCTCCATATTCTGGAAATGCCCACTTGTCGTGGCTCCCTCTGTGCCTTGGTGCACTAGGTTCTAGCTCCGAGACACGCACCCATTGGTCTCCCCGGCAGCCCCTGACCTCAAGTCACACTGCCTCCCTGGGAGCGCCTCCCTGGGAGCGCCGCCCCGGCCCTGCCCCACACTGCAGACAGACCAGGAAACTCTATTTCATGTTCCTGGAAACGTCATTCTGTGTAAAACAAACAAACTGACAACTCTTGGTTTACCCTCCTCCCCAACCCTTATCTCATCCCCTCTCTGAACTATACAAGGGATTAACGGGTCGGCAAACGTTTTCTACAAAGGCCAAATTGTTAATGTTTTGGGCTTTGCGATCGATCAGTGTGGCTTCTGTTGCAACTCTCTGCTCGGCTGTCCTGTGAAAGCAGCACAGAGCACTTGTCAATGGATGAGTGCCGCTGTGTGCCTGTAACGTTTTATTTGCAAAAACCGGCAGAAAAAAGTAGAAACTACCTAATGTCTATTAGTTGATGAATCGATAAAAAATTGTGGCATATCCATACAATGGAATATTATCTACACTAATAAAAGAGAAACATGGTAATTGGCGTACAACCGCTACCCTTCCCATTGGCTAATCACGGGCAATATGCAAATTAGCTGTCAGCAAAGATGGCGGCTAATTTGCATATTGCCGGCAGGATGGGGCAGCGCCATCGTGCCTGCCCCTCCGCCATCCAGGCCTGCTATCTGTGACCTGGATGGCAGGCGACCCAACCCAGGGCTGGCAGGGCGTGACCGCAGCTGTCCCCTACTGGCCAAGACCCTAACCCGCTCTCCCACCAGCAGACCGGGGCTGGCCTGGCGGCTTCGGCTTCCGCCTGCAGTCACGCCCCCCAGACCCGCTGCTGCCAGCAGACCAAGGCTGGGGAGGCAGAGGCCCCCAACCCGCTCCCCCCGCAGACTAGGCTGAGAGGCGCTGCTGCAATCCCCCG